GGTTTAAAGGGAAAAGGAAGTCTCATCCAGTTACTTGGGTCAAAAACCCCCCATAACTTTAAAGAACCCCCCCTCGAGTCTTAAAAATTTTGTTGTATGGTTTTTCGAGGGATTACAATGGTCCACTGCAAAGAAAATTTAAAAGGGAGCGTTCTGGGGTTTAAATAACAGACCCAAAATTTAAAAAGCTAAACCCGAAGGGCATACAGCGCGGGGAAAGAAAAAACAAAAAAAGGGTTCAGAGGACCAGAAAAGGGCATTGGTGGAAAAACTGGGATCGGGGGTTTGGGCAAAAAAAATAGTTTTTCTGGGAAACGGGTTTTTTCCCTTACAAGCAATTTGTAATCGACCCAGGCCCCCATAATATTTTTCCTCTAAAACAAAGATATTAACAAACAAACGACATCCCCCGCCCATCTATTTGCAGGGTGAAATCATTAGCTACGTTAAAACTTACAGATATCTTGGTGTAGATGTACCCTTTAACAAATCCACTATACCACAACTAAACAAGAAATGCAAAGCTAGGCTAAATGCTCTCAAAGCTGTTGCTGGCTACAACCCCAACCATGGTGCTAATGTGAGAAGCGTAAGAATGATGTACATAGCCTATGTTAGGTCCTTAATTGATTATGCTGCTCCCATGTTGATATTAGCTAGAGAAAGTTCTCTCCGACCCTTGGAGTTAATGCAAAATGAAGCTCTCAGGATTATTCTTGGCTGTCCCAGATCTACAAAAGTTCTTAACATGAGGAAGGAGCTTGGTATTTCTAGTATCAGTGATAGGATTATTGAGATTAACACTGTACTCGGTATTAGAATGTTGAGAAACGTACCAGACACTGTCACAATGAATCTTACCAAGTGTCTAGAGGTAAATACACACAGATCTAAATGGATTGTGAAAACGTGCAATTACATCAAGTTTTATAACCTACATGAACTGTATCACTGTAGGCAACAAGAGCATTTCACCCCTCCGTGGAAGATGTGTTCATTTAATATCACATACCTACAAGTCCCTCCCAAGAAGCTCATTGCTAGTAATACCTTCCTTAAATCTCTTGTTAGAGCAACTGCTCAAGAAGAAATTTCTCGCCTAGCTGGTAGTAATAAGTTATCACAAGTTATATACACTGATGGATCTAAACAGGAGTCTTCTGGCAGGGCTGCATCTGCTCTTGTTGCCACCTCCCTTGTTAAAAACGATAATAAATTTGTTGAGTTAGGCATAAGAATTAACAACTGGGCGTCTACACTGCAAACTGAATTGTTTGTAATCCTAATGGCGCTAAAGCTAACCTATGACACTGAGCTTGACTCTATCATCATTACTGATTCTGTCATCATTGAAGGCTCTTGACTCATATAATGACTCCAACAACATGCTCATTGGAGAAGCCAGGTATAGATACTCAAAAATTAGGGACAAAGAAATTAATGTACAATTGCTATGGATCCCATCGCACTTGGGATTACTCCTTCATGATAAAGTTGATATGTTAGCCAAGAAAAGTACCCAGAAGGAGAATGTAGAATATAACTTTGGTATAACTGTGTCTAGCATTAGGAATAATATTAGGAGAGAAGTAAATAATGAAAATGATTGTTATAGGAATGCAGTTAGAAGTCTGAGTAGATCTATAACCCACTATGATAACATGAACGTAGATAAGTATGTTTATGGAGCAACTTGCAATGTGAACAGACTGACTGATGTTGTAGTGGCCAGGCTTAGTGCTTAGTTACAAGTACTTCTGGCAGTTTGGGAGACACACAGATGATGATCAAACTAAATGTAAATTATGTGATCAGGCATGTGGTCACTATCTTGAACACTATGTGCTTAATTGTCCACTTATTGAAGAATACAGAGACAGACAGTATAATAACCTATGTGACATGTCAAGATATCTTATTAATGAAAATAAGATACCAGATATACTAAGCAAATTTCCTAAATTTGCTTGTAACAGATAAGTGAACTATAGATATGTAGATATAAATCCATATGTATTCCTGTTAACCCTTTGGGGCCTAGTTCCTGGGCCTTTTGTGTATCCATATGCTCTTGCGCTACCGTCCACAGGATGGATATGGGGTGCACAATAAAACTAGCCACTTCGGTGGCAAAATCTAAATCTTTCCGTTTCTGAGGGTTCATGGTTGCTCGCTGGTTTGTAGATGTCGCAGTCACTGTCTCGTTCATCATAAAATAAAGAATCGGGGGAAGCTAAGAATAAGCGGAAAGAAACCACGTACACGCCCTGAGCCACTGTTGTCTCCACAACCACAGGCAATGCTGTTGTTCCCTGGAAAACACTTTTTACCGTATATGATGCAAAGCATCAGGATGGCACCTTCAGAATTAACTGAGCATGGCTTAGAAAAAACTACCTGTTTAGACTAGAGCACGAACTGGGAAGTCTTCTTCCAGCTAATATGGTGGTGGGCAAACCAACAAGAGCACCAGGAGTCACACACGTTCAGCTGCCATTCCTAGATCCGCAGGCAACCTCCAGTAGTTCTCCCATCACCTGATCTCGCCGGAGGGTCACCTGACATGCCCTAAGTTGATCCAGTTTACATAGTGGAGTCATCATTTATTGGGAAGCGCTAAAGCTATGGATGCCCCTGTAGCGCCGGTGAGAATGAAAGGTAATCAGATTTGATCCAAGGGAGTCAGGTTCAGTTCCTTGCATCATGAGTTCCTCACCAGCATCAAGCAACGACCCTTGAAGAGACCTCACGTGGAAGGGCATCCACCACAATACTACCGATGGAAGCAAAGTTAAAACTGGCCGATAGTGATTCCTACTATCAAGGAATTGGATTTCACGAAAGCGAGAAAGATCCCAACTAATGAGGTCAAAATAAGACAAAGGGGTGGAGGGTATATAAATTCGAGCCAAGGGAGGGGAGAGCAGATCCATTTCCTCGGATCAAGAACCACTTCACAGCACGGAAACCCCGTTATGGGGACGTTATGAATGCCTCACTGTACTATGTACCTCTACTCTTGCAGTAAACAGGTACCTGGGGGCTAGACGTTGCACCTGCTGCCCCTGTTCACCAAGGAGCACCTCTTAGGGTAACTTGCTCAGCTATCAAAACTTTGGAGTCCAGTCCCTGGACCCATTATGTACCTCTGTAATCTTTTAACTACCGCCCACAGGATGGGTATGGGGTGCATGATAAACTAACTTGGGGGAGGTGCATTGATGCCAGTGAAGGCTCTTGAAAACCGCTGCATTGCAAAACGCCGAAAATGCGAAGTACTGCGAATGTCAAAATGGTATAAGTGGTATAAGTAAGCAAGTTTATTCAGGTATACACAAATACAGCTACATTGATTATCATACATAGCAGCATAGGTGCAGAGAACCTAGGATAACCCATAAAAGTTAGACCAAAGTGACCTATTTCCATTGGGGTCCATAGTCTGAAACACTGTTTCAGACTATGGAACAGAACTCTTCTCCAGGCTGAGGGACTGACAACCTCAACTCTACGTCTTCAAGGGTGATGGACTGAATACATCGTCTTCACATCTCTCCTGCTCCTGCCTACTTTCTGTACTCGACTGAAGAAGCCTACTGTGTAGGCGAAACGTTTCGGAATAAAGATGCCTAACTGTTGCCTATGTGTCTTACTTTCCAAGCGAGGTACTGTAAAGTGGGGCCTTCCTGTTCAAGGAATTGAACTTAGCCTCCCCTTCCCTGGATCGAATCTGTATGCCTACCATTCCCCAGGCGATATATGACGCCCTACAGGTTTAGCGCTTCTATGTGAATAAAATGAAATTTCCTAAGGGCACATACGTACCTCGGTGTTAAGTCTCCTTATACCTGTTGTCCCTATTCACCTAGCAGTAAAACGGTATCTAGATAAGTCTACTATATCATGTTTTATCTGGGAAAGTGAGGGGGATGGGGATGGACTGAAATTAGTTTTTATTTATATTCATGGGTAAGCATTGAATCCGTATGAGTCATATAGCGAATGTGAAATGTGGAAATAGGGGGGGGGGATAATCAGGTTTGATCCGAAGGAAAAGTAACTCAAATTCTTTGGAGCAAGAGCCCGTCCCCAACATCAAGCCAACCCTCTCCCTCTTGGAGGGTTATAATAATAATATATCTATTTCTACAAGTACATGTACAAGGTATACAGACCTAGATGACATCAATGACACAATACTGTATAGAAATACGCTTGTTATGCAGAGCATTTCGGGAAAATTAGATCAGTTTTGTCCCAGGATGCGACCCACACCAGTCCACTAACACCCAGGTACCCATTTTACTGACGGATGAACAGGGACAACAGGTGTCTTATGGAAACGCGTTCGAATATTTTTCGGCCGTACCGGGGATCTGATCCCCGGACCTCAGTGTGTGAGTTGAGTGTGCTAGCGATCGAACTACTTGACATCCATTAATATCCACGTCGTCCTAACGTTGTTACCATGGTTACCACCACGATCGACAAACATACTGATTTAGTTTTCAACATCCTAGGATATGAACCTCACCCTCTATTTAGTCCATGAGATAAATAAATATATATAACTGTATATATATATATATATATATATATATATATATATATATATATATATATATATATATATATATATTATATATATATATATATATATATATGTTATATAAACACCTTGCTCTTAAAATATATATGTAGTATTTTATATGGATGGATTAAAGATAATTGTAATATATAGATATTAATGGGAAAGCGCTAAACTCGTAGGAGTCATATAGCACCTGGGGACTGAAAGGTCAGGTATAATTAATCCAAGGAAGGGGAGGTTAGATCTAATTCTTTGGATCAAGAGCCTCTTCGACATCAAGAACGCCCCTCCCTCTCTTAGAAGATAACACATAATACATTAGCGGAATTTTAAACCAGTAAATAAATTAGACCAGCCTCATAGATCGACCCACTGAGATTGACAACACTATGGATGAAGTGTAGTAAGTAGTGTGATGGAGGTGGTGGAGGTTGTTGGTGTTGGAGAGGTGGAGGTGCGGCCACAACTAGCCTCTCTCACGCTAGTAATATCCTCACAGAAAGCAACCATTGAAGAATGCAGAGCTTCCGTGGAGAAGCGGCGGCCATATGTTTACCAGACGGTCAGTCAGAATCAGTTACAAATTACATTATTATTATTATAATCAAGGGGGAAGCGCTAAACCCGGAGGATTATACAGCGCCTGGGGGGGGATGTGGAAGGCATTCAGGCTTAATTCGGGGAACTGGAGCACAGATCCAATTCCCTAAATCAAGAGCCCCTCACCAACATCAAGGAACCTTCCTTGAGGGGTTACAAATTACAACTTTGTCAACATGATACATGGTTTACACAGAAGTGGGCGACACTTGAGTGCATGTTGAAAGTCCCAAGTTGTGTCGAGTATTTCGGGCATGCTAAACCTCTGGACTTTATATTATTCTGTACGACCCATACGAGTTTACCATTTCCCCATATTTATGTTAGTTATTAAAATATTATTTTCAATTATTACCTTTTTAGATCATTTCATTATTAATTTTACAAAGTTTTAATTAATACGAAAGCGCTTGGAATTTCTCTATTCTTTCACAGTGGCTGTTTTGCATATTCTGTGTGTGTGTATATATATATATATATATATATATAAAATATATATATATATATATATATATATATATATATATATATATATATATATATATATATATATATATATTTTATTCTATGTGAACATTTATTAATAAACAAAATACATTTACAGAAAAAAACATATACATGAATACAATGGCACAATGTATCAAAGATCATGAATTTCCTCCAGCTCCTCCGAGGCTGGACGTGAGCCAAGTATGCAGCAAGCATTTCCCCTCTGGATGGCGATGCTGAGGCGCTGGAACATGAAAGTGGCTGCCCTTGGGTCCCTGGCGGTGTCGATGAGTCTGGAACCCAATTCTTTAAGGAAACGTGTGGCATTTTTTCCCCATGATCCCATGGTCTCTGATCCCACTGGGACAAATTGATACTGTTGGCTAATGTCCCTGTACTTGCTGATCTTGTACTCCTCCCTGTGGTCAGCAGCTCCTCCCTGTCGCCCCACACTGTGATGGATATAGGTGTCAGCCAGTGTGGACACACAGGTATAGTCCCATGCTAAGAGCCTGCCATTCTTCCAAGGATAGATGGTGATCCCGTTCAGGTCCCCTACCACAATTACTCTCTCACTTGGTTCAAAGGCTCCTATACATTCACTTAACATCTCCCAAAATCTCTCTCTCTGCTCTGCATTCCTCTCTTCTCCAGGTGCATACACGCTTATTATGACCCACTTCTCGCATCCAACCTTTACTTTAATCCACATAATTCTTGAATTTACACATTCATATTCTCTTTTCTCCTTCCATAACTGATCATTTAACATTACTGCTACCCCTTCCTTTGCTCTAACTCTCTCAGATACTCCAGATTTAATCCCATTTGTTTCCCCCCACTGAAACTCTCCTACCCCCTTCAGCTTTGTTTCGCTTAGGGCCAGGACATCCAACTTCTTTTCATTCATAACATCAGCAATCGTCTGTTTCTTGTCATCCGCACTACATCCACGCACATTTAAGCATCCCAGTTTTATAAAGTTTTTCTTCTTCTCTTTTTTAGTAAGTGTCTACAGGAGAAGGGGTTACTAGCCCATTGCTCCCGGCATTTTAGTCGCCTCATACGACACGCATGGCTTACGGAGGAAAGATTCTTTTCCACTTCCCCATGGACAATAGAAGAAATAAAGAAGAACAAGAGCTATTTAGAAAAAGGAGAAAAACCTAGATGTATGTATATATATATGCATGTGCGTGTCTGTGAAGTGTGACCAAAGTGTAAGTAGGAGTAGCAAGATATCCCTGTTATCTAGCGTGTTTATGAGACAGAAAAAGAAACCAGCAATCCTACCATCATGCAAAACAGTTACAGGTTTCTGTTCACAGTCATCTGGCAGGACGGTAGTACTTCCCTGGGTGGTTGCTGTCTACCAACCTACTACTATATATATATATATATATATATATATATATATATATATATATATATAAAATATATATATATATATTATATATATATATATATTATATATATATGTATATATGTATATATGTATATAAATGACATGCCCATGCACTCTGCCCAGGGCCAGACTCATGGAACTCTGTGTTCATCAAGAACTGCAAGAAGCCCCTATCACGAGCCTTTTCCATCCTATGGAGAGGGAGCATGGACACGGGCGTCGTCCCACAGTTACTAAAAACAACAGACATAGCCCACTCCACAAAGGGGGCAGTAAAGCAACAGCAAAGAACTACAGACCAATAGCACTAACATCCCATATCATAAAAATCTTTGAAAAGGGTCCTAAGAAGCAAGATCACCATGCATCTAGAAACCCATCAGTTACACAACCCAGGGCAACATGGGTTTAGAAC